CTCTGGTATATTGTCTCTTGCCTCCTTGCTTCTCCAGCTTATTTAAATTCACATCACTTCTTGCTTGTCCAAGTCTCTTCCTCTCTCATTTATCTTTGTAACTGTGTTATAATTCAGTGTTGTGGCATTTTAACTGAGCTATAATTTCAAGTTTTGAGACAGGAATATGTACAGGATGAAGGACAAGATCTGTTTCAATCTAAAGACTGAAAAGAATACTTAAATTAACCTGGCAATAAATATATTAAGAAATGCTACTTCGCTCCCCAGGTTGGTGTATGAATACTGAGTATATTCTATCATGAATGTGTTTTCGCAGTTGGGACTGTTTCCTCAGCACAGGCGCTGAAATTGTGTTTTTCAGATCTCAAAACTAATTGAGTATTCCTGGAAGAAATAACCAAGAAAAATGTATATTCAACAAGTGCTTTACAGCCCTGTCAATCAAAATCAACTTACACTGGGAGAAACGTGGTGTCAGTGACTGCTTCTTTCCCTTGGTGCTTGCCAGAAGCACAAGACAAGTGGAATTGTGGTAAACAACCAGGCTGAGGAACGGGCCGAAGGAGATGACAGACATCATAAAAACTTACCAGTTTGAAGTTGAAAGGGCAGGCAGTGGGGGCACAAAGATTTGAACCCGTGTTGGTACTTTGCCATATCTTACTGGAGGCACGCAGAGCGGGGCATTAGTCATCGAACTGGATGCCATTGCAAATTATTCGAAACCAGGTGCAAAAGATTGGACTGAGTTGGGCAGGAATAATGAAAGCAGTTTCTTAGTTTCTTAGAATTCAGCTCTTCAAGATTGGCTTTAAATAATGTCCTTATCATTGAACTTTTTATTTCACAGTTATATATCTCTATAAGGTATAGATTAGATATGTATTTATATCTTAGTGTTTCATAACAGATTTTCCCAATGGGAGCCCTTAAAGATATCATTCTTTTTACAAATCTCAGCAGCTCTCCCTGTTTCAGTGAGAATTAGTTATGGTTTTAAGAAGTGATCTTTGAAACAAACAAGAGGAAATGCCTCTGATGATACATTCTTTCACTACCTACAAAGGGAAAAATCTACCATCTAGTACACTATGCGTCTTAATTAATCAACCTAATAACTACTCTTTTTATGTCCAGTCAGACAGGAATAACACTAGTGCATGTCACACGGACCAGAGAGAATAATCAGAAATCTTAAAAAACATGAAGTCAAGGCACTACTAGTATTCTGAAGGGCTCGATTCATCCCATAACACACCATTTTTACAACTACCAGCCATTCATATGTCCCAATCATCAGGGCAGTCACACTGGGCCAGGCCAGAGGTAGCTCTCATCCAGAATTCTGACTCCTGTAGGAACAGTTAACATAAGCCTATTCCTGAACCCCAAAACCTTTCTTAACAGGGAAAAAAAGGAAGACATGCAATGTCTGCACATCTTGGCGGTGCTTGGTAAGATGAACTAGCATTTTGCAGATTCAAGTTATGGATGAAGAGGTGGGAGATATGAGGTGATAAATGCTTTTGTGTATATCTGGAAGTAAATGTGCTTCTCTTCAGAACTAAAACCCGATCAAAACCCAGTGACCAGTAGCAAGCGTCTGAGACAGGGAGAACAGAGCAAACAAACTCTGACCCTTCTCTGGTGGAGTGACCTACAGACAGGAGAAGTTGCTGTATCAACGGAAAGTGCCAAGCAGTAATCAGGAACCTTACGTGTCTTTGGAAGCTTCTGTTTGGGTGGCACCTAGAGCAGCATTTTGCAGATGATGGGGCACTGGTGTCGCACAAAAATACAAATCTGAATCCACCAAAAGCTTTAAGGCATCCAGACATACTTGTTGGTCTGCAGCCTACATTAGGTATCAAGATGAGCTAAAAGTTTCACTGTGATATTTTAAAATCAACTAGAGTTATGCCACTGGTTACAATAGAGTCACATCTCACTTTATTTCTCTTCGCTTTTTGGTTTGGTTTTTGTTTGTTTGTTTGTTTTTAGTTCCACCATCTTCTATCCTTTTCATTTTTTCAGCCTTTTTTAGAGGACCATCAAACCATCTTTTTGAAGCTAGAAATTCTTCTGCCAACTGATCTAAGACAAATGAAGTAATTTAATTTTCAGATTTTGCATGAAGTGGATTGGTTTCAATATACAAATCTAATTCGCTCAACTTTGCAGTTATGAAAAGCATTTCTAGGGTTATATTCTGTATTCTCTTTTCTGATGAACACTACCTAAGGAATACTAATTAGAGTGCTTGAGGAGTAAGGTAAGCAAGGCTGGCAGAGTCTGAGCTTTTATTTGTGTTATCTCTGTCCAAGTGTTCAAAGCAATATGGGTGGTGACTGATTCACTAGTTAGTTAAATTCAAAACAGCATGTGTGTACAAAAGGCTGCCAAGTTTCTCATGTATATTGCTATTTGTGAGAAGCTATGCACAGACAAAAAACAATCAACCGGTTTCTTAATTTCATTTTATATCTTTATTCCCATTGTTAGTCTTAACAGTCATCCAAAAGACCATTTAAATTTGGTTTGCATACACAATAGCATTAATCACAGTCCAGTTTCTTTTTTTTTTTTTTTAACTGCAGTTCTAGTATTTCGTGATCTGTTTTAGTAGTTCTGTTGTTGGTGTATTTGCTTCCAGCAAAGTAGACTTTTCAGTGTTTGTAGATTATTTAAAAAGATTGTTAAAGATAAAAAAAATCCATAATGCAATGATTAACAGTACATTAATAAAGCTTATTATCTTCCATTTACGATTAGTACAATGTACATTTGATGATCTGAAACTTAATTTTTGTTGTGCATTCTCTGTTCTTTTTTCAAAGTAAGTAAGTCTATAAACAACCATAATATATTTTTTCATTATGGCAGTTCATTGCAGTAACATTTTAAATTGGATTGAAATCTTTTTGAGAGAGTTATTTAGGTAAGTAAAACAACCCTACAAAGTAAAAGAATCTGTTTAAGCAAATGATGTTATGCACAAACCAGTGCTAAGGTAGTATCACAATGTATAAATTAGAGTGGATAGAAAACAGGAAGGATTTTCTAAATTCACTTGCTTATTATTTGGGGAAAACACATCACAGATTGTACTTTAGTCTTCAGGTGAAGATTCACAAAATAAAGTCAAAGAGACATCTTTCATCAAGTCTTTCAAAAGCCTGTGAGATGAATTCCTTCATCAAATTTATTAATGTAAAAGCGAATTCAGAAAACTTATTTGCGAAAGCTGTCCTGTTACATTACAAATAACAATAATAAATTCTTTAGTTCCTCTTTTGAGTACTCTGCATACGAACAGGCATGAATACATATATGAATAAAATATGCCCATTGTATAGCCATCCACAGAGCTAATATGAATTCTTATGTATGTCTTTATGTCAGAAAAGGACAAATTATTAATCAAAGTACAGAAGACAGAGCAACAGAGAAGGAAGAGGTGATGCATGAGAACTTTGTTAGTTGTCTTAGGATGACTTCTGTGTGGATAAAAATGTGTGCTTTGGATACAGAACAGTCACCAACAACTATTTTAGCATGTAATGAAGGAAGTTTGAGATCAACATCAGCTTCTAAAAGGGATTAAAACAGAGATAGAGACAGCCAGGTGAAGGGGAAGGGAACCAAGGGCAGACCATGCTATCCTAAGTTTTGTCTCAGGACCAGAGGGAGTGGAACATGGTGGGAGTGAGGGTAGGAGTGCTGGTTTCAGAGGCAAACTTGCTGAACTGATGGTGCTCTCGCTCAGAACAGACTGAATAGGGGAATCACTGGACACTTCTGGTGGGGATACTTTTCTAAGACCTTATTCCAATCACAGCAGGTATGTAAGACACCAACCTAGCCCCTTCATGAGTTGCAGGAGAGCTGGAAATCCTAAGTCGGATGCATGGGGAGCGAGAGGTGTTTTCAGGGACTGTCCTCCTCTTGTTATTGCTCTTAGTGGTTGTGATACCTGGAGATATTCTATGTAATAACCATTCACCGTCGCACCTTCCTGTCCCAGCCTTCCACACTTGAATATCAACGTAGCATATATTTGAGCTCATAACACTCAGTTCTCTTCACTGCTATTTAATACATACATATGCAACCAGCAAGAGATGAAAATTGTATTCTTGTAGATGAGCTAACAGAATCTTCCTATTTCTCCATTACCTACAGACTGGGTTGTGAAACATTTTTATTGGTCTTAACCCTTTTCTCTTCCTTTAAGCATGTGTATGCACATACATGCATATACGTACACACACTTGCAAACACAAAGAGCATGTGTAATACAGTACTCAGTGGAGCTACTAGAGCTATTTCAGAATAATGGCAAATGGGTACTGAAGAGGTGTAGCGCTACAAGTGCTATAGCCAGAGTGTACCATGTCTGGAAAACTGGGGTTTAGCACCTTGTTGTCCCCATGAACATCTTTTGTTTCAAGGTTACCTTCATTCCATGGAGCACGGGGACCTGACCTTCAAATGCTTCTTACAATGTGCGTTTCTGTTGATGTTATGAAGGCTACACTGTGTAATGAACTCTACATTCATTAATAGGCATAGCAGCAATTTTTAAATAATTTCATATAAAGAAGATGAACTGTGCTTTAGGATTATTTTATCTTAAATAAAATTTAATTCATGCAGTCCTAGAGTACAACACACATACACGGGTTAAAGACAATTCTGCATGAATGCTTTGGTGTCCTCTGTGCACCTTTTTAAATGATCAGTACCTCACAAAAAATGTTTCAGTATCATTCCTCACAGTATGTACTCAGTGTATCTCAGAATGGTTTGTATTTCATTTTACACTTTATATATAATATCAGACTTGCATTTTAGGTATCAAAAATATATTGTTAAAAGATCTTAATAGTAAATATCATAAATCCAGAGTTTTCACCAAAGGGTAAAATGATTCAAGACCTTTGGTGAATGGATGATGAAAAAGAAACATTTCCAAAAGCTACACATGATTTGTGGTCTTATGCTACCAACAGCTGGCCGATCAGCTCCGGGTTTCTGTCCTTTATTAACGCCATGATAAGAGCAGCAGCAGAATTTACTGTGTCCTGAAGCAGCAAATGGTCCTGGGGGAGGGGAAAAAAAGGGAGCAGGGAAACCGATATGTTAACAAAAGTGGAAAAAGCAGATATTTAAAATCAATTTTCAAGTACGCAAAATTACCATATGATTGTTGAAAAAAAACCCCAACCATTTATTTGCACTTATCAGAAGAACTTCTAAAACTTATATTTTAAGGAACACAATTTCATAGTAATATCTGTTTTCCAATTTCCACGATGATTTAAAAAGCAAAATTATTTTTTAGAGAGGAATGTATTTTAACTGCTAGAATTAATGCTATCTATGCAGAGACCACCAAACCAGAAGCTCGATTCTGTCACTTGCTTCCTAACTGATTTTTAAAATCTAAAAAGTAGTAAAAAATTTGGATTTGAAAACATTGGAACAAAATGGAGTATTTAATCCAGTAGCATAGTTAAAGACCTGTAACTTTAAGCACCTTCTGAATCCCATCTGTAGTCTACAAACTTCTTAAACTCACAAGGGCACTTACTTAAGCACGAAGACTTCAGCAGTTTAGGCTGCTCTTTGTGTCACATAACTATGAAAAGTAGTCTGGTTTTGATAGGCGAGCATAGAGACCAACACAGGAAGAAGTCATAAAATGAGACTTTGATTCTGTGCTTCTAAGCGAGCACTCCAGCTCCCATTTGAAAGAGTCCTTTGTCTAATTGCCAAGTTTTCTTAATTGTATTGACTATAAAAGGTTGGCCTCTTGCTACCAGTAACGTTTTCATTTGCGCACTAGGAAAACATCAATAGGTGTAGCCAGGCACAGACAGATCCCTTGAGAAAGAAATAGGAAGGAACAATTTCTGTGAAGCAACAGAGAAAAAGAAAGGTCTACAAAACTCTTGGGAGAATCGAGAAGATTTTCAAATACAGAAGGGGAGCTACAAAGAGAAAGCAAAAGCTGTTCTCGATAGCCATGATGGATAAAACTGGAAGCAATGGGCTTAAGAGAACTTAAACTGGGATATAAGAAGTCAGGAAAGTTGTTTAAACAGTAAGGACTGGTATAGAGTGGAACAGATTGTTGGACAGATCAAGGAAACGCATCATTAGGGTCCTATAGTATGAGACCTGCATACATGTAAAACAGGATGCAGGTACAGCTCCTGCCTGGGGCGGCAAGATGGGCCAGTTTGATTCTGTATCTTTTCACCACTATTTTTCTAAGATGCTGGATCAAGGAAGAATTTGCAGATAATGTTTAAGAAACTTGGATTAATGGAGAAAGGGGAAACAGTTTCAACAACTTATACAAAAACATAATGTTAAAAACTGCTTTTTAAGGAATAAGGCTACTGCTGAAGGGACCTACCTATTCAGCTAGCATGGAGGGCAGCTGGAGACTAAGAAGTTGGGGTTGAAGGAAAAACTGAAAGCAGAAAGGTGGCCCTGGAACACTGTCAGTGTTGAAATGGGTCCAGATGAGGGCCATGAAGCTGACTGGAGGGCTGGAGCACCTCTCCTATGAAGACAGGCTGAGACACTTGGGGTTGGTCAGCCTGGAGAAGAGAAGGCTCTGGGGAGACCTTATAGCAGCCTTCCAGTACCTGAAGGAGCCTACAGGAAAGCTGGAGAGGGACTGTTTACAAGCGTGTGGAGCGATAGGACAAGGGTTAACGGTTCTAAACTAGAAGAGAGTAGATTTAGATTAGATATTAGGAAGAAATTCTTTACAATGAGGGTGGTGAGGCACCGGAACAGGTTGCCCAGAGAAGCCGTGGATGCCCCCTCCCTGGAAGTGTTCAAGGCCAGGTTGGATGGGGCTTTGGGCAACCTGGTCTAGTGGAGGGTGTCGCTGCCCATGGCAGGGGGGGTTGGAACTAGAGATCTTTAAGGTCCCTTCCAACCCAAACCATTCTATGATTCCATGGTAACGCTCTTATTAACATTGTGCTTCATGTAAATGACAGGAAACATGCCAGAAAGGTAACTGGATAGCATTAGAAATAGCTAGTTTATACCTGATTCTTTTATCATTCCTGGAAAAATTATATTTGCATTTGACTAGAATTTTGTCCTAAAAATCATCAAATAAGTAAGCTGTTACAATTTGTAAACCCCCCCCCCCCCAAAAGATTACACTCCTCACATCGGTATACATTCTAATATGCAGTAAACTGATTTATTAGTGTTCTAAGAAATTGTCGTAGAGTAAAAATGTTCACCATAGCTGTGTCTTGCTGTCTACTGAGTGACACCTCCCATTCAGTTAAGCAGAAATGTACTCAGGTCCTGCTCCTCCAGTGCCTTTTGTCACGGACCAAGGGTGCAAAGAATCCACTACTCCAATCTGGTAGGGGTTTCACTCCCTCATTTCCCACAGGTCTAAATTGCCATATAACGTACAAGGAGAGCGGAAGTTATGTGCATACTACACCCACTCAGACGGCAAACACTGCAATCGCTTTCAAGATCTAGCAACACATTTCTTGATCTGCAGCAGTGCCAATCTCTTTGCGCCCCTCATCGCCTTTTGTTCAGTTTGTCTTGAGAAGCACTTCATAATTACAGACACTGTTTTCCAAATGGGCTTCCAGCCATATCTGAAGTTGGCTGGAGGTGTATATTTTTTTTCCCATTTGACAAAAAAGGAAAAAAAATACACCTGGCCAGGAATGCTCTTAATGTTTCTCCCAATAAATCTTTCCACACCCTCTGTTGGTTACTGGATGCAGTACACATTCCTTTGCAGTAATAAATTATGTAAGTTTTTGAACATAAAAGGAAGCAAGAGAAAGAAATTTAACTTTCACAGGAGAGATTGAAAGTGACACCATAAGATTCCTTTAGACTGAAAAAAGCTTTTTCTAAAGCTAAACCTAAGGCTTGAGTACTAATTTCCATGTTCTGAAGGGAAGAGATGCAAAAAATTCTGAATAGTATTTGTAACCCAGGCAGTGTGGCACAGTAATGTGTACAGAAACCTGCATGCAGAAGTGGGCTATAAACAACACTGAAATTGACTGATGGACTGCAATTTGTTCAAAAAAAGAGAAAAAGTAAGCAGCACAAATTAAAATGCATTTGCAAGTTTTACAATTGCCTCACTTCTAATAATCCAATTATTAATACTATTATTATAACTATTCAGGATACCTTCTGGTTTCTGCCTTTCTTAAGAATCAGTCAATACAAGGGCAGGAACTGTCAGATAAGATTGGTCCCATAACTCTGTTTTTTTGGAAATAACCAGAAGTGTATCCTTTAAGTGAATATACATTATCTTATTTAATATTACAAATGTAATAGAAAAGATATTCTTAATTTTATATGGTTACAGGCGATGGTTAAATGACATTGGGAAGCATGTACTCAAGCTTTCAACAGGGCAATCCTTTAAAGTATTTATATCATAAGGGTTACTAATTTTTAGATTTATGCTGTTGCTCCTTCCCGGTAACACTGTCCCAGTCTGGTCCAGCACCTGGGCCTAGGAGCCAGCCTCTGAGTGCAGGAGAAATCGGTGCCACAAAGGTCAAGTATGTGCCGATTTTAACTTGCTTTATTCTCACAGCCACAGTCTTACTGGAAAGAGGCAGTAAATAATGCAAAAAAACTGGACTCTTCCAGGAATTTCAAAATAATTGTATATCCTGTATCTTTCTGAGAATCAGATCTCACTTTTATGCTAGGAACCATTACCATACTATCTGATGGTCATAGCCTGTGCATAATTTATAACTTTTGTTCATCATTTCTAGTCCTTATTATGACAAAAAAAGAGAACAGAAAATGAAATTTTAGCAACTGAAAGAGAGCACATCATTGTTCAAAGCGTAGGCATAACGCTGACTGACATAATAGTTAAGTTATATCTTAAGTATTCTTTCCTCTCCTCTGAATCCTGCTGGGATTTTATTTCATTTTAGGCCATTACTGTGCACGTAAGCTGATAGTTTCAATGTGCCACAATGATACTTTGCTTTTTCCTAAGTAGTTATAGATAATTTGGATGCCAGCAGTGTTTATGAAGCATATTAAAAAGAATTTAAATGACAGAACTCAACAACAACCCAGAAAAGAAAAAGAATCTTGTGGGTCTTTATTAATTTAAAGCTAAACAAATAAGCGAACATGTCAAGTCCCCTGGCTATACCCTTAAAACACTCGTGTTTCTGACACTGCAATGTTATTTCTGGCAACAGTGCTGATTACGGCTGATAGTGCCTACAGGGAGGCTTCACTAAGGGTGCCAGGACAAATTTAATCTACCACACCTAATTCCGTTGCACACACAGGCCTCCGATCCTCTGTTATACTCAATGGCATAACACTAAATCTTTCAAAAATCTCATTATTAGTTACAGGAAGTCAAATAATCAAGCAGAACTAGGTCTTCACATGTCTAATTGCCTGACGTGTTTGCATATATTGTAAGCACGACAAAAAACAGGATGTAAGAACGGAGCGATCAATACAAATCCTCGTGTAGCCCACAAGAGCTCTCGCACGTTATTGCCCACCCACTGCTCGGCGCCGCAAATTCCAAGCCGGGAACGCACTTCAGCAGTGAGTGCATCGCCGTGCACGCGCCGGATGGATCAAACACGAAGAGTTCTTTTCCTCATCAACAAAATCCTTAAAAAAGACTGTGACCTTTAAATCAGACTCGGAGGCAGTAATGACTTTAATGGATTAATGACTGAAGTTCCACATGATCAACTGGTGTGCCATGATCCCCCCTAAACCATTGTGATATTCACTGTCTATTCATTTCATCCAGTTAACTTAAATGAGTCTTTTGTAAAAAAGAAAACCAAAACCCCCTAACATTTCTTGGCCATTAATAAATAGAATTTTTTTATTGTTTGAACAGATGATTAACTGCATTTATAAGCTAAAAACAAAACTTTTACCACTTTATATTTATGTACTTTGGAAAAGAAAGTACTCAGAAACGCTGCCAACCTTATAAACCATAAATCCACATAACAGCACTTTGATTCCAAAATAAAATATCCACTTTGTCTGTTACTAAATAGTAAAAATA